TGGAAATGAAGTCTATGTAAATAGGGAAGGGTGAAGGGGGATGAAGGGTGCACAGGGAATGAGGAAAAAATAAAAACCAAGATACATCATGTACAGATACAAGCACCCAATGATAAATGTAAACATATTGTATACCTAAAATGTACCCATAAAAGAATTTAAGGGAAAAAAAAAATGAAAGCAAAGAAGTACTCTCAAAGTCATTCCTGGAAGTTGTTATTACCTTGATTCCAAAACCTGAAAAGGATCCAATCAAAAAAGAGCTACACGGCCAGGGATTTAGCTCAGTGGTTCCGTCGCCTGCCTCACAATCAAAAGGTCGAGTTCAATCCCTGGTACCAAAAAACCCCCCCAAAAAACAAAAAGAACTACAGACCAATCTCTTTAATGAACACAAATCCAAAAATAGCCTCAACAAGATACTGGTAACAAACTACCAAAAATATCATACATCATGACAAAGTAGTATTTATCTCAGGAATGCAAGGATCATTCAACACATGCAAATCAACAAATGTAATACAGCACACAAACACAAGCAAGAACAAAAGTCACATGACCAACTGGATGCAGAAAAAGCCTTTGATAAAATATAACATCCATTCGTGATAAAAAAAAAAACCCTAAAGAAAATATGTATAGAAAGAACTTATCTCAATCTGATAAAAGCTATTTATAATAAACCAACAGCAAACATCATATTAAATGGGGATAAGCTGAAAACTTTTCCTCTAAAGTCAGAAACAAGACAAAGATGTCCTCTGTCATCACTCCTGTTTAATATAGTTCTTAAAATATTAGCCAGAGGAATCAGGCAAGAAAATAAATAAAAGAAATGTGTATAGGAAAAGAAGAAATCAGATTATTGTTTTGCAGATGGCGTGATCCTCCACATATAAGACTCAAAAAATTTCTGCAAAAGAATCTAGAGTTAAGAGTAAGACTTGATAGCATTGCAAGATAAAAGTCAACACATAAAAATCAATACTGTTCCTGTACACTGATAATAAACTCATGGAGAGAGAAATTAAGGAAACAATACCTTTTCACTATAGCAGAAAAAAAATGAAATACCTAAGAATCAAGCTAACTAGAGGTGAAAGACCTCTATAATGAAAACTACAGTACTCTGATAAAAAGTAGATTAAAAGGACAGGCAGAAACAATATAATAAAAAAGGCCATACTTCAAAAACTGATATACAGATTTGACACAATTCCAATAAAAATACAAATAGCATCCCTCAAAGAATTAGAAAAAGCAAACCTAGAATTAAATGGAACCAGAAGAGTCTTACAATAGCAAAAGCAATCCTGAGCAACAAGAGCAAGACAAGCA